TCCGGCTGCTCAGCTTCAACTCTGCTGGACGGATAGCAGCTAACTGCTAATTAGCTACTGCTAACTGCCTTTAGCGGTCTCTCTACGTCTTACAGGAAATATGAGGAACTAAACGACGCTCTGCTTCCTGTTTCAGGGAGACTTGGAGGAATATTAATGTTCCTACAATAACTCTATTATTATTATTACAATTATGTCCTTTAAATCGATTTAATCTGTTAATGAACTGAAGGTTAATGGAGAAATGAAATGATCTCTGGCTACAAACACACTGATTTAGATGGTTAATTAAAGATAATTCTTCTTTCCTCTTCATCAGCTCAGGTTATTGATTATTAATGAAAGCTCTGACTGACGATGAGGAGGTCGATAATCTCAGTGTTCTTTAATATTATCAGTTGTGTTGAGGAGCTCACAGTTTAGTTCACAGTGACTTTAACAGACAGGAAGCTGCCGTCCAGCTGTTTACGACGCAATAAAACACTCACAGACAGACACACACTCACACCTACACAAACACACACTGCTGAGAGTACAACTTCACTGATACTGAGGATAATATTAATATTATTTTGGAGTATAAAAACAAATCTTGAGGTTAAAAATAAATTATGACACAAAAATCTGCAGATTTACTAAAATACTTTTTATTACTTTAATGTAAACTCTCGTTTACACAACTAAAAACTTTCTATCCAGTACTTTTTAAAAATATTTTATCATTTATTTTATTCTTTTTAATAAACACTTAACTGTTTGATTATAATCCATTTATTATTACTTTTATTGTTTCTCATTGAATTAACTTTTTGTGTTGTTTTGGCTGCAGTGGTCACTAAAACACAGGATTCTGAGTTGCATTTATTTTGTGCTGCTATATAAATAAAGCTGTTAGCAGTTGATGTTAGCAGTAGTTGTGTTAGTAGGTTTCACATTGACACACATTAGCACCTGGAATCAGCCTACTTTTACCCAACTGAATGTTGTGTAGCGATAGAAAAGCTAATATTGTGCTAAAGGACTGAGTTAGCATTTTAGCTTAGGAATCATTAGCAGAAGTATTATTAGTATAAATGATATTTCAGGTATTCAGACCTTCCAGAAGGATCTCCACGGTAACCTGTCGGCTCCCGGCCTGATTGGTGGCCTGACAGGTGTAACGGCCCAGGTCCTCCTCTCTGACTCCGCCCACCACCAGGCTGAAGGTGCCCCGCCCACCTTGCGTCACGACGCAGCGCTCTCCACCAATCACAGCCCTCCCCTCTCTGTACCATGTGACCTGAGGCTCAGGATGACCACGCACCTGGAAGACAGACGTCACACCTGGATTCAGCAATGCTTCCTCTGTGAGGCTGCCGTATTGGAGAGATCAATATCACATCAATCAATACAGCGTGTGTCCGAGAGGCTAACGCTGATGTTAGCCTGTTCATCAAAAGGAGATTTACTGTGTGTATGTGTGTGTGTGTTCAACATGTGGCGTGCAGATGTGTGTGATGACTTCAAGCTCCCATGAGGCCTTGCAGCTCCATCAATCACTGAGCTGTGGACTGACGGTGCATTCGAGTGCTGTGGGATTAGTTTGTTTTCAGTATTTAAAGTTTAAATCCTGCAGACGACAGTGACTGTAGGGGGCGTGGCCTCGACAGCGACTGCAGTGATTGACAGACTGACCACGGCAGTGTAGCAATGAGCTGGTAGTCAGAGCTAAGACTCCCACTCAGAACTTTATAGAAATGTCCCAAACTGTCCACTCTCAGTCACAGGGTTCAGACTGATCTACAGCACAGAGTGTGTGCATGTTTGGTTGACTGATTCACACCAGGAAACAGACGGTCACAAGACTACAGACATCTTAATCCCTCTCACATCCTCCTCCCTCATCTCCTCTCACATCCTCCTCCCTC